TGTATGTATGTATGTATGTATGTATGTATGTATGTATGTATGTATGTCTCCTATACATCTTGCTGCAGTTGTGAAGTTTAAGAATCTGGCTCAGCTGGGCTGGGCGAACTGAGCACCAGAGGATTCTGATGATAAAGGAATAGCTTTAGGAGTATTAATAGCTCTCTCATGGGAATGTGGATGCCAGTAACTGAACAATCAACACTGGTGACACTGCCAGCCCCCCTTAGCACCTCCCCATCCCTCCTTTGTCCCTAAATCCCCTCTCTCATCTGTTGCTCTCTCTTTGCAGAAAAGGCAGGGGTAAAAAAATGCTGCAAATCTGAGATCAGACACTTGAATCCTCCTCCACTGCTGAACTGTATACAGCATACCATCTCTGATATCACCATTCTCTTACTGATTTATTATTACAAGATTGTAAGGGCTTCAAATGGGTATGAAATATATCCAGCCTACACACAGGTCATTGCTGAGCAGTCAAGTAAACAGCATTTAATGTAGCATTTAAGCTGACTTTACTCATTCAATCAATTTGACTGTCATTATTAATTAATGAGGACTGTGTGTTGCTCCCAGTTGCAATTGTTATAGCACACCAGAACAGTTTCCACAGTCTTGATTCCCACTTTGACGTAACAAGGGAGCAGTGCCCTCTAGTGCATTTACTGATGCTGTTCAATCAATGAGATGTTAAACTGTTTTATCATCTTGATTTCCTGTTGACTGTACAAGCAAACAACTAAAAAGTAGCAAAGAGGAACCTAGAAAAGCTAATTATCATACTGTGAATGTTCCTTTTTGAGTACAATACCATGCATTGTATTACCATATAGTATATCTGAAGCTAATAAATTATAAGCAAGCTTCAATGAACATCAATTCTTTGTCATGCTAGACTAAAATAAGACACACTTCAAGGTGATTTCAAAATGTTCTGTGCTTTATTTGAGCAAAAGCTGAACACTGTTATAGTACACTTTAGTCTTTAGATTTTAACAGCCCCTGATTCACAGTTTTAGAAAGCACTGAATGTGGGTGCAGCTAGTGAAAAGATCTGCTTTAAAGAAACTGTCAAAGCTACCTGCACACCAATAGTACATCCACACAGCATTTTTCATTTATCTTGCCTAATTAGACCTTGTCAGGACAGCGTGGGTGTGTACAAACTGCACTTGATTGACATCTCCTTCATTCTACTGTTGCTTTCCATACCCGTTACAGTGGTGACATCACATAACTGATAGCATTGCTCCACCCAGCAGAGGTCTAATCAGCCAGGGTAATTGAAAACACCTGTGTGGGTGTGCAGTCAGTCAATGTAAAAAAAATTTATTTTAGCTTAGAATTGACTGGAATTATTATCTATGAGCACATAATCAAACAAATCCAGGCAAGACTATTACATGCAAGTATTATAGGAGAACATGATGCAGTTGTGGCAGTGAGTTTGTGGCAGAAAGAAGTGTATCCATTTCAGCTTCTCTTGGACTAAACAACATGCTAAACAGTACCGTATGCTTAAATTACAACCTAAATATGTTCAGGTTCAGAAATAAAATGTATAGCTCTGAAACTTGCACAATAAAGAGGTAAATTTCATGGCTTGCTCTTCTAACAGGGCTAGTTCTTAAGCATTTTCTCAGCCTTCGACTTCTGCATAAAAAGTTAAAACATCTTTGGCACCTTTACTTAGTCTTGCGGCAGAGCAGTGACAAAATGGACCAGTACATCCCAATGTATCGCCCTCTGTGAGCAGAAAGAGTTTTAAAGAAGGAGTTTTGAAATTGGGGGGGAGGTGTTTACACATGAGCTTTACTGACCCACAAAATCAGAGCCCTGGATGTACTGGGATGATGAATGGTGAATCAGTGCAGAACAGTGGGGCCCACATT